CGTCTGGGGCAGCCGCTCTGCCTCCGCCCCCGCCTTCCTCTGTCGGGCTCGTTCCAGGCTCTGCCCAACTCGGGGGTCTGCCCGGCGGAGCCCCTGCCCCCCTCAGCCCCCTCGTCTGTCTCTCTGCGCCTGGGTCTGTGCTGTGTCTCTCTGCTTCCTCTCGCGCCATCCCCGTGTGTCTGTGTCTCCGCCTCTGTCCACTGCCCTCGGCGTTCCGTGCCCCTGTCCGTCCGCCTCTCCTCTCCTGGCCTCCCCTCCCTCTCCCTTCCCTGCGTTTCCCCCCTCCGGTCTCCATCTCTGTCTCTGGCGTCTCGAGTCCGTCTCTCCCCGGGAGCCAGTTGACTCCCTCCCACACACCTTTGTCTCCGCCCCTGGCAGGGGAGACCTGGGGGGGAGAGCCCCCCGCAGAGGGGGCTCCCCCAGGCCTGCAGTCCTCACTCCTCTCCCTCTTCAGCTGGCTTTCGCTTTCTCCGTCCTCCCAGCTGGCCCCTGCCCAGCCCTCCCTGAGGACGGAGCCCTCCTCTCTCCTGCCTGTTTCTGGCATTCTGAGCCCAGTCCTTCTTGCAGCTTCACCTGTAACCTGTGCAGGAGAGACTGGACCAGTCCTTTCTTCCGCCTGACTCCCATTCCTCTTCGTGTAAACTGGATCAGTCCTTCCTACAGTCTGACTTCCATGCTCCTTGCTGTTTGTCGAGTTCTCGACTCATTCATTCTCTTGGCAGTTAGCTCAAGCACCTTTCCTAGGCCAGGCACAGCACTAGGCACTGGGTCAGGCCAGGCGGGTCTTTCCTGCAGTCTTACTTCCATCCCTCTCGTGGCATACCAGTCTCAGACCTGTCTTGGGGAGGCTGGGCCTCAGAAGCTTCTCCATCGCTTGGGGGACCTTGAGCGGGAAAGGGGCCCTGGAGCAGGTGGGCCAGAGTGAGGACAGGGGAGCAGTGTGAGCCCGCGCGGCGACAGGGGTGTGTGTGTGTGTCCCTGGCCACAGTGAGGCCCCAGCCCTGGGTGACGGTGCCTGCGTGGGGCTCCGGGAGGCTAAAATGAGCCCCGGGCAGAGTCCCACGCCTCACCTTTCTGTCTCTGTGCTGCCCCTAGCTTGAAGCTGTGTGTCTTGGCCAGGCCCTTTCCCTCCTCTGGGCCTCAGTGTCCCCATAGGTGTGTCCCCACCCTGAACACCCAGAGTCTGTGTGGCATCCCAGGCTGGGACATGGTGAGGTGGGGGATGCCGGGCTCGCCCCGGGCAGCACCTGTGGGTGCCTGGAAGTCAGATCTCTGAGGGCCGGCCGTCCTCCCAGGAGTGCAGTCGGGATCCCCCTCTCCGCCCCACTCTGGTGACAGCGTGAGTGAGAGCGGGTCTTGCACAGCACGCCAGACTGCGCCCAGCCCCGCCCCCGGGGGGCCCCAGAGGCTGCGAGGCGGGATGGGGCGCCCCTGAGGCCCGGCTGGGAGGTGCTGCCATCTGCCCTGCTGCTCCCACCCTGGGCTCAACCCGATCCCTCCGGCCCACGGTCTAAACCCAGATTAGGTTTCAGGGCTGCTGGTGGCGGAGACAGAGCAAGGGGCTGGGGCAGAGGGAGCCAGTCACGGACGGGGCTGGACATCCTGGGCGCCTTCTCTCCCTGACCCGAGAGGAAGCTGGGTTTCCCCCATCCCCCGGCGAGGAGGACTAGCTTGAGAACACCCGTCACCAGCAGGGTCTCCCTCCCAGAGGGAGGGACAAGTGGTTAAACCTGAGGAAGGACTTCCCAGGCCACGGCCCCTCCCGGAGAAGGGGCGTTGGACGCGCTTCAGATGGGTCTTTGACACCCCTGGGTGGCCCCCGCTTCTCCCTCAAAGCCAGGAGGATGGAGGGGGAGAGAGCGGGAGTCTGCCTTGGAACCTGGTGGGTTTGTAATTATGCCTGAGTTGTTGCTAATTAGGGGGCTGCTAATTAGATGTATCATTAGGAGCCTTGCCGAGGGGGCTAATTGTGCGGTGGCCCTTTAAGAATCTCCCCCCTCCCCCGCCCCTGCACACACACACACACACACACACACACACAGGCGAGCTCCCTCTCCAGCTCGCTCCTTCTTGGGAAGTTCTGCCAACATTCTGCCTCCCTCCCCCAGAGGAGCCGGCTCCCAGCCCTGGGTACGTGGGTGTGAGTTGGGGACAGGCTGTGGGTTAGACTCCCAGAAGAACTTTTCAGACAGTAATGGAAGTACTGGGGAAAAGGAGGCTGGTGGCCAAGAGAGGGGTCTGGGAGTGTGGAGGCTCGGAGGACACCCCCTTCCTCCCTCCCTCCCTTTCTTATAGGCGACTGGGTTACCGTGGCGACAGCAGGTGGGGGGAGCTCAGAGGAGCTGGGCCACTCCTGGAGAGGGAGCCTGGGAGTCAGAGTTGCTGCCAGGTGACTTGGGACCAGTGTTTTAACCTCTCTGAACTGTGGTCCTGTCATCTGTGAAATGGTGGGGACACCCCGGAGGGGGATGGTATTGTTTTGGAGAGGGTGGCCAGGGTCGGTGACGTCAGAGTGGAGCCTGGAAAGAGAGGAGGGACGAGGCTGGTGGGTATGTGGGGAAGGGCGTCCCAAGGAGGAATAGAGGTGCAAAGGCCCTGAGGCGGAACCGTGTCTGGTGAGTCTTAGGGACGGGGTGGGTGGCTGGAGCAGACTGTGGGGGCGGGGAGCCTGCAGACGGGACGGGCCAGAGAGGACCTTGGTGCTCCGAGTGAGGCCAGAGCCCTGTAGGAAGGAGGGTGTGGGCTGAATGGTGTTCGTCAAAGGAAACTTGAACACGACAGGATCAGAGCCGCTCAAACCCTGGGCCAGGGGCAGGGAGAGAAGTCTTGAGACAGTGGCGAGCCCACACCCACCAGGAAGACAAAAAGCCCGACACTGGCCAGGCATGGGGCTCACGCCTGTCATCCCAGCACTTTGGGAGGCTGAGGCTGAGGCGGGAGGATCACTTGAGTCCAAGAGTTTGAGACCAGCCTGGGCAACATAGCAAGACCTTGTCTCTGCAAAGAAATTTTAAAAATAGCAGGGCACAGTGGTATGCGGCCGGAGTCCCAGCTACTCAGGTGGCCGAGCTGGAAGGCTTGCCTGAGCCTAGGAGGTCGAAGCTATGTGGGACCATGATGGCACCACTGCACTCCAGCCTGGGTGGCAGAGCAAGACCCTGTCTCTGAAAAAAGAAAAAAAGCCCAACACAGGGCCTTGAGTGTTGCAGCCACTAAGGAACTGTGCAACTTACAGAGTCTGATGGGAAGCCTAGATCAGAGACCCAGGGCTGCTGGAGACCGTCACCTGCTACCACCACGGGGAGGGGTGTGAACAGAAGTTCTCCAAGGCCCAGGCTGGAACCGCTGCCATCGCCTCGCGAGTTCAGGCGTCCCAGTCCCTGCCTCCCACACTGAATGACACGGCCTGGGTTCTTTTGTGCCTGGCTTTGTCCAGCCGGTGCTGTGTCCTGCTTCTGTGTCGCTGGTGCATCTGTGGTTCAGTCCCTTTTCAGTGCCATATAATATTCCACGGTGCGGATACACCTCTGTCCCTGCCTCCATTCTGCTGCTGATGAGCGCCTGGTGGTTTCGTGCTTGCAGCTGGTACACGTGGGGCTGCCGCAAGTGTCCTCGTAGGTGCCTTTGGCGGACATGTGGGGCGGTTTCTCTTGGGCACACACCTAGGGGCAGAACTGCTGAGTTTGGGAAGCCAAGGCAGGAGGATTACTTGAGCCCAGGAGTTCGAGACCAGCCTGGGCCACTCCATCTCCACAAAATACAAAGAGTGCTGTGGTATCCTGAAGTGCTTAGACCAATTTCCATGCCCGCCAGCACGTGGGAGGGTTCCCCTGTCTTCATCTTTCCATGTCTGTTCTCTGCATCTCTGCCGGGCTCTCTCTGTCTCAGTCTCCATCCTTGCGGTTCTCCCCGCCTCCACCCGCAGCCTCTCCTCCCCCCCACCCCCCTGAACTTTGACTCTTGTGTGATGGGGAGAGGCTTGCTCCCCTCACCCAACCCTCCTCCTCCTCCCTCCTAGGACCCTGCCACCCCCATGGCTCCCCTGGCCTTGGTGGGGGTCGCACTCCTCCTGGGGGCTCCCCCGTGCTCGGGGGCGGCTACCCCGACCCCTTCCCTGCCGCCTCCCCCGGCCAACGACAGCGACGCCAGTGCGGGGGGCTGCGAGGGCTCCTACCGTTGCCAGCCGGGGGTCCTGCTGCCCGTGTGGGAGCCGGACGACCCGTCGCTGGGCGACAAGGCGGCACGGGCAGTGGTCTACTTTGTGGCCATGGTCTACATGTTTCTGGGCGTGTCCATCATCGCCGACCGCTTTATGGCGGCCATCGAGGTCATCACGTCAAAGGAGAAGGAGATCACCATCACCAAGGCCAACGGCGAGACCAGCGTGGGCACCGTGCGTATCTGGAACGAGACGGTGTCCAACCTCACGCTCATGGCGCTGGGCTCCTCAGCACCCGAGATCCTGCTGTCGGTCATCGAGGTCTGTGGCCACAACTTCCAGGCCGGGGAGCTGGGCCCGGGCACCATCGTGGGCAGCGCGGCCTTCAACATGTTCGTGGTCATCGCCGTGTGCATTTACGTCATCCCGGCCGGCGAAAGCCGCAAGATCAAGCACCTGCGAGTCTTCTTTGTCACTGCCTCCTGGAGCATCTTCGCCTACGTCTGGCTGTATCTCATCCTGGCTGTCTTTTCGCCAGGGGTGGTCCAGGTGAGCAGGGACCCGAGGGTGTCTTCTCGGTGCATGTGTGGTCTGCGCATTGGCAGAAGTGCACGCTCCCATCAGAGAGGGCCACCAGGTGTGGTGGTGTGGGTGCCACGCTGCACAAGGGGATTGAGCCCGAGAGGGCAAGCCCTGCTGCAGGGACTGGAGTGCCGCTGGCGCACCCCAGCGTGGCCTCCAGAAGGAGCAGCAAGCCGGCGTCTGTGCGGGGGCGCCCTGGGCACACAAGTCTACGCGTTAAACCCTCCCAAGAGCGCTGTGGGTGCTCCCTGTGATCTGTGTCATGTGGGCCAGGTAGGTTTACATGTTTTCCCACACGCGCTACCCTTTGCATAATTTATTCCCGCTTTTGCAATGAGATGTCCTGCATTTGCATCATTCATATCACGCATGCCCTGTTTTCGGACGGCGGTAATTGGTTTGGGTAACTCGGTGCAATTTGCATAATTTATCCACAGGCATCCCCACATCTGCATAATTCAGCTCTGCATTGACCAGCTGTGCAATCACTGTTTGCATAATTCATTCATTATTCAGCATCATCCGTCTCTGGTGCTGGGATAATTTATGCCGCTTCGTGTAATCCCCCCCTCGCATCCGGCCCACGATGATATAAGCCCGGTGATTGCCTTGCGTAATTTATTCCAATAGTGAGACAGAATGTAACCCACGGCTGCATAATTCACACCTCCGTCCTCATCCTCCTTTGCCTGTTTGTCCAGTGTCTTAACCCCATGCAGGGGAATCTTCTTTCTCCATATTTGCCTAATTTATTTCCCACAGTCCCCTGACTACCACCCACATTTGCATAATTTATTTATGGGCCTGGTCTAATTCGGCTACACACATGCATAATTTATTTGCGGGTGTCCAGGATTTATCCCCGCACGTACGTAATCTATTTTGGCCTATCTGTCAGGTTTTGCCAGTTTACAGTCCCTTCCCAGGAAGGCTCTGAAGCTGGAGGTATAAAAATTTTTGGTGATGTATAAATAAAGGCTGATATGGGCCGGGCACAGTGGCCCACACCTATAATCTCAGTCCTTTGGGAGGCTGAGGCGGGAGGATTGCCTGAGCCTGCAAGTTCAAGACCAGCCTGGAAAACCTGGTGAGACCTCGTCTCTACAATAAATTTTAAAAATCAGCCAGGCGTGGTAGCACACGCCTGTAGTTCTGGCTAATTGGGAGGCCAGGGTGGAAGGATTGCCTGAGCCCAGCAGTTCATGACCAGCCTGGGCAACATGGCGAGACCTTGTCTCTACAAAAATAAAAAAAATTAGCCGGGCGTGGTAGTGTATGCCTGTAGTCCCAGCTACTTGGGAGGCTGAGGCAGAAGGATTGCCTGAGCCCAGGAGGTTGAGGCTGCAGTGAGCTGTGATTATGCCATTGTACTCCAGCCTGGGAGACAGAGCAAAGACCCTGACTCAGGGAAAAAAAATGGTATCCTGACTTACCTTTCAAAATGGCCTTTGATGGATGGACACCAAGGCGATGAAAAGAAGTGTAGCCATCATGAGCGAGGGGTGGCAGATCGGGGTGGGGGGGTAGTGGTTCCCTCTGAGAAGGGCTGGCTGAGGCATAAGGAACGGGGTGGGGAGTTGATAAAACCCAGTTCAGCCGGGCTCGGTGGCTCAGCCTGTAATCCTGCGCCTTGGGAGGCTGAGGTGAGTGAATTGCCTGAGTCTGCGGGTTCGAGACCTGCCTGGGCAACTTGGTGAGACCTCACCTCTACAATAAATCAAAAAATTAGCCGGGCGTGGTAGCGCGCGCCTGTAGTCCCAGCTACTTGGAAGGCTGAGGCGGAAGGATCGCTGGAGCCCAGCAGGTCGAAGCTGCAGTGACCGGGAGAGGCCACTGCACTCCAGTCTGAGTGACAGAGTGAGACTCCAACTCAAAAAAAAAAAAACCCACAGTTCTGAGTGGAACATGGTGGGTCCCTCCGGGAGTAACTTGAAGACCTGAATTATGGTACCTTGTTATTAGAGCTAGAGGAGCTCACACAAGATACAGGTGCGGCCGGCTTCTCCAAGATGCAGTGACCTGGAGTAGTAAGAAAATCCACCTGGTTCTGTATTTTCTCCACCACTGCTGTGTGACCTTAGGCAATGCCTGTACCCTCTCTGGGCCTCAGTCTTCACATCTGAGCTGTGAAAGGGGTCTAGACCAGCCATTCTTGAGCCTTCCTATCCAATCACCCCATTTGTGTTGAGTCAGGGTCTCACTCTGCCACCCAAGCTGGAGTGCGAGGGCACAATCACAGCTCACTGCAGCCTTGAATTCCTGGGCTCAGGGGTTCCTCTCGCCTCAGCCTCACGAGTAGCTACAGGTCTACAGGTGTACATCACCATGCCCTGCTAATTTTTTTTTATTTTTTGTAGAGACTGGGTCTCACTATGTTGCCCAGGCTGGTCTCGAATTCCTGGGCTCAAGCGATCCTCCTGCCTCAGCCCCTCAAGGTGCTGGGATTATAGGTGTGAGCCTCCAGGGTCAGCCTCCAGTTACCCCTTTTTATAGCAAATATTTTGTTGTATCCTTTTTATTCTGCTGATGTGAATTTCCTAGGTGGTAAAAGAGAGGTTTTTTTAGCCTCAGGGTTTGGTTCATGGACCCTGAAGCCAGAGGCCCGGGTTCAAATCCCACCTCTGCTGCTCCCTGTGACCTCGGGCAAGTTCCTTACCTTCTCTGTGCCTTAGTTTCCCCACTTGTAAAATGAGGGTCACTGTAGCTCTGACTTCATAGGGCTGCCATGCAGAGCAACTGATTTGTTCCATGTGGAAGGGCTTAAAACAGACTGCTGGGAACAGAGTAGCTGTCAGCTATTCATCAATGAACTGGCCTATGCCAATTGGCTTCCCCAAAAGTCAGTCTAATGTCCAAACTGATCTAGAGGAAAGACTTATGGTAGAATGATCTGTATTTCCACATGTCGATGGTTCATCGTGACTTCCCTCATGACAAGGAGCCAGACGCAGCACCTGTCTGTAAGGAAGAAGTTGGGTTTCAGAGAAAGGAAAAGATCAGGCCAGGTGCGGTGGCTCTAATCCCAGCACTTTGGGAGGCTGAGGCTGAAGGATCGCTTGAGCCCAGGAGGTTAAGACCTGCCCAAGCAATAGAGTGAGACCTCGTCTCCACACACACACAAAAAAAATCAAAAAATTAGCTGGGCTTGGTGCTGTGCACCCGTATTTCCAGCTACTCAGGAGGCTGAAGTGGGAGGATCACCTGAGCCTAGGAGGTTGAGCCTGCGGTGGGCCATGATCATGGCAGTGCACTCCAGCCTGGGTGACAGAGGGAGACCTCAACTCAAAACACAAGCACAAAAACAAAAAATGAGTGTGTTTGGTGTATGTGACGCCATCCAGGAAAATACCTAAAGCAGAGTTGAGATCTCCAGATATTAGAAACAGGGTTTTCACGGAGACGAACATCAGCAGCGCTTTCTGGAGTTACCAGCGTGTGGGACAATTCTGCATGGTGTGGGGCTGTCCCATGAGTCATGGATATCCTCAGGCCCTGAAAGGCCAGGACCATGTCCCCTCACCGGTAATGACGGCTCCTAGATTTCTGATGTCCCCATCCCAGGTATGCTCCTGCCCCGCTGAGATCCAAAAGCGTCCCGGTTCCCTCCGGGGTAGGCATGTCCGCAGTGCCCAGTCTCGCAGGTGCTGGAGAAGGGACAGTGTGCCAGGCACAGAGGCTCATACCTGTAATCTCAGCATATTGGAAGGCCAGGGCCAGAGGATTGCCTGAGCCCAGGGGTTCGAGACCAGCCTGGGCAACTTGGTGAGACCTTGTCTCTACAGTACATAAAAAAATAAGCTGGGCATGGTAGCGCGTGCCTGTAGTTCCAGCTACTTGGGTGGCTGAGGCAGAAGGATCACCTGAACCCAGCAGGACGAGGCAGCAGTGGCCGTGGGCATGCCACTGCACTCCAGCCTGGGAGACAGAGTGAGACTCCAACTTAAAAAACAAAAAAGTGTGACTGCTGGAATCACCTTTCCTTCACCTGCAGGGAGGAAAGAAGTTCTTAGGGTTAAGACTTCTGGTGAGTCCTCTGCAGTATACACAGTGGTAGGTGCAATGAAGATGAGGAACTGGGCACTGTGGCTCACACCTGTAATCCTAGCACTCTGGGAGACTGAGGTGGGAGAATCCCTTGAACCCAGGAGTTTGAGACCAGCCTGGGCAACATAGCAAGACCCCATCTTTAAAAAATTAAAAATTAGCTGGGCATAGTGCCGTGCACCTCTAGTCCCAGCTGTTTGGGAGACTGAGTCAGGAGAACTGCTTGAGCTTAGGGGGTGGATGCTGTGGTGAGCCAAAATCACACCACTGCGATCCAGCAGGACAAGATAGCAAGACCCTGTTTCTACACAAATTTTTCATTAAAAAAATGAAAAGGGGCGGGCTCGGTGGCTCAGCCTGTAATCACGCGCCTTTGGGAGGCTGAGGTGAGTGGATTGCCTGAGCCCGCGGGTTCGAGACCTCATCTCTACAATAAAATCAAAAAATGAGCCGGGAGTGGTAGCACGCGCCTGTAGTTCCAGCTACTTGGAAGGCTGAGGCGGAAGGATCGCCAGAGCCCAG